CTGATGATATCCTCTTCACTACGAGTTGTCCTTCTTCTACACGATGTCTAATAAAGTGATATTTTCTGTCGATATGTCGTGATCTACCATGATCTTGGTTCCTTGGTCAAGGCAACCGCTCCTTCATTATCACAGAAAATCTCCATGGGCTCCTTTATGGCAGGTACAACTCCAAGATCACCAATGAAGTTCTTCAACCATATTGCCTCCTTCGACGCTTCGCTCGCTGCAATGTACTCTGATTCGCACGTTGAATCAGCTACGGTTTCCTGCTTGGAACTTTTCCAAGTTACTGCTCCTCCATTCAGGGTAAAGACCCAGCCCGACTGCGAACGGTAGTTGTCCTGTCGGTCTGAAAGCTGGCGTCACTATACCCTCACCTTCAAGTCATCACTCCCTCCGAGGACTAAGAACCATTCCTTCGTCCTCCGAAGGTACTTAAGGATATTCTTCACCGCAATCCAATGGGCTCTGCCAGGGTTCCCTTGATATCTACTAACCATGCTCAAAGCAAAGGCTACATCAGGGCGAGTACAAGTCATAGCGTACATGATTGAGCCAACTGCGGAAGCGTATGGAACTCGGCTCATTTCAGCTATCTCGGCTTCGGTACTCGGACTTTGAGTCTTACTCAACTTGGCATTGCTTTGTATCGGTAATTCTCCTTCTTTCGAGTTTTCCATACTAAAACGTTTTAGTACCTTCTCTAAGTAAGTGTTCTGACTAAGTCCTATTAGTCTCTTACTTCTCTCTCTTACTATCCTTATTCCCAAAATATAGGAAGCCTCTCCGAGGTCCTTCATAGCGAAGCACTTCCCGAGCCAGGACTTAACCTCCTGCAGAGTCGGGACGTCGTTTCCTATGAGTAATATGTCATCGACATATAGAACAAGGAAGCTTACTACACTCCCACTGGCTTTGACATATACACACGATTCATCTTCGCTTCGTACAAATCCAAACTCTTTGACTTTCTCATCGAAGCAAAGATTCCATCTGCGAGACGCTTGCTTAAGTCCATAAATGGACTTCTCAAGCTTACACACTCTATTCGGATGCTTCGGATCCACAAACCCCTCTGGCTGAGCCATGTAAACATCCTCAGCCAACTTCCCGTTAAGGAAAGCGGTCTTGACATCCATTTGCCAAATCTCATAATCATGAAATGCGGCAATAGCTAGCATCACTCTAATAGACTTTATCTTCGCAACTGGTGAGAAGGTCTCTTCATAGTCAACTCCGGGAGTTTGAGTAAAGCCCTTCGCAACCAATCGCGCTTTATACGTTGTACCTTTCCATCCACGTCGGTCTTCTTCTTGAAGATCCATTTGCACCCAACGGTCTTACGTCGGGCACATTATCAACCAAATTCCAAACTTGGTTATCATACATGGATTGGATCTCGCTATCCATTGCCTCTTTCCATTTCGCAGACTGGGCCTGCCATGGCTTCCTTATAGCTATTAGGTTCATCAAGGTTTATTAGTGTACTATCACTAATATACGTGTCCCCTTCGGTAGTAATATGAAAACCATACAACTGGGGTTGAACTCTAACTCTTTCGGAACGTCTAAGAGGTAATGATATGTCAATCGGTTCAACCGGAGTTTCCTCCTCGGGTTGAGCGCCAGCGGTAGAGGTTCCTTCATCTATCGACTCTTGAATCTCTTCAAGATCGATTTGCCTCCCACTGTCTCCTTGCCTATGAGTTCTCGCTCTCGGAAAACTCCTCTCCTCGCAACAAAGACAACATTGTCCTTCGGTCTATAGAAGAGATATCCAAAGGATTTCTGCGGGTAGGATGAAAATACATCGCTCACTACGAGGTTCGAGCTTGTCGTGAGTATCTCGTCTTACGAAAGCCTCGCAACCCCAAACCTTGATATGTGCTAACGAAGGAGCTTTCCCCGTCCACATCTCGTGAGGTGTTTTGGCAACCTTCTTAGTAGGGACTCGGTTAAGGATATGGGCGGCAGTCTCTAAGGCATACCCCCAAAAAGAGATAGATAGCGAAGCACGACTCATCATAGAGCGAACCATGTCCAACAAGGTTCGATTACGCCTTTCTGCCACACCATTCAATTGTGGTGTCCTAGGTGGCGTCAATTGTGAAACTATTCCACACTCCTTGAGATAATCGTGGAATTCAAGACTTAGGTACTCTCCTCCTCGATCGGATCGAAGCATCTTGATCTTCCTGCCCAATTGATTCTCCACTTCATTTTGAACTCTTTGAACTTTTCAAAAGTTTCTGACTTTTGCTTGATTAAGTAGATATACCCATATCTACTATAGTCATCGGTAAAAGTCACGTAGAAGCGGTTTCCATCCTTCGTGGTAGATCTAAACGGTCCACACACATCGGTATGTATGAGGTCCAATAGACCCTCACCCCTTTCGCACGTACCACGAAGGGTGACTTAGTCATCTTTCCAAGTAAACAAGACTCGCATGTGTCATCTTCCCTAAGGTCGAATGACTCCAACACTCCATCCTTTTGGAGTTGGGCTATGCGTTTCTTGTTGACATGTCCAAGACGACAATGCCATAAGGATGCCTTATCCATACTATTGGAAGAATCCATGCAAAAACATCATTTCCTAAGTTATCAACAATCATAACAGTTTCATAAATTCCATTACATGGTATAGCTTCAAAGTAAAAGACACCATTCAGATAAGCTAAAATAGAACCATTCTCATTATTAAAAGAAAATCTAAAACCTTGTCTAAACAAACCATGAAATGAAATGATGTTTCTAGCAATTTCTGGCGAATAGCAACAATTGTTCAAATATAAAGATAAACTATTCCTAAGCACTAAAGAATACACTCCAATCTTGGTCACAGGCGACGATCTTCTGTTCCCCATGATTAGATTTATTCTTCCATGCTCCATGTCTCTACTTCTTCTTAGTCCCTGCACATTAGAACAAATGTGGTAACCACAACCGGTATCAAGAACCCAAGAAGTATCATGAGATGAATCGTTAGATTTAATTGTGTATATACCTGCGAAAGATGGCTTGATCTTTCCTTCCTTGATGGCTTGCAGGTACTCCGGGAAGCTTCTCTTCCAATTTCCTATCTTGTGGTAGTGGTGGCACTCTGCCTCCTTCGGGTTAGGGCACGTGTAACATCCCGAAATCGCAAGAGTAGAGTTGAAGGGCTAAAAGTGTAAGTTTCGGAGGGCGACTCGGCGAGTCCATGGATAGACTCGGCGAGTCAGGTTGCGACTTTGGTCGCGTATCAAGTGGCCTACTCGGCGAGTCCAAAGATGGGCTCAGCGAGTAGGTGCTGTGTGGAGAAAACCCTAATTCTCAGGGTTGAGCCCTATATAAAGATCATTATATTCTTCCACAGCCTCCTCTATCCCCCCCCCCCTGAGTCCCAGAAACCCTAATTTCGTGGAGAGCCCCATTGTTGAGCAAATTAGAGCTTGGAGAGGTGTTGGTTGAAGAAATCTTTAAGGAGAAGTGGCTTGGATCAAAGGGCTTTGCTTGGATTCGAGTTTCATTGCTATTGAGGCATCCTTTGGAGGTAATACTTTCGTTCTTGGGCTGTGTTTTCCTAGATTCTCATTTTGGGGTTGTGTGGGGAGCTTAGTTGTGTGGCATCTTGATGTTTGAAGGATGGATCTGAGGTTGCTACCTCAGATCTGGAGTGGAGAAGATCTTAAGAGCATTAAAGCCCCTGTTCTTGTGTTGTTAATGGAGCTATCATGTCCCAAACCTTAGTTCTAATGTGTATTATGCTTAGATCTTCATGGATTCACGTAAAGTTTGCCACTTTACGTGATGGATGGTTGTAGGAGGCTAGATCTATGTTTTGGATCAATTGCATGGCCTGAGATGCTTCTGTATGGATTCAGACCGGTGGTACTCGACGAGTCACAAGGGTGGACTCGACGAGTTGCTTGAAGATGGCCTGGAACTCGACGAGTTGGAAGAACAACTCGGCGAGTAGGTTGAAGATAGCCTTAGACTCGGCGAGTCTGTTCTTGGACTCGGCGAGTCTTGTCGAAGAGTCCCAATATTTCTGGTTGAGTCGATGAATCGGTGAGTCAAGGGATGACTCGGTGAGTTGGGTGCGAGTGGACTCAGAGTGGTTGGACTCGGCGAGTCTCGGGGTGACTCGGCGAGTCAGGTCGCGATTGAGGGAAGTTCTGAGCTTGGGGACTCGGCGAGTCATGGGATGACTCGGCGAGTAGAGTCAGTCAGGGGTTGACCAGTTGTCTTCCAGGGGTATTTTGGTAAGGTATATATATATATATATATATATATATATATATATATATTGAGTTGAATGTTTTGATGTTCAGTGAGGAGTTCGTGTCAGAGTTCGGAGCAACGGGATCTTATCCTTTCAGCCGACAGTTTCGAGGTGAGTTATCCTCACTGTATCAACAGGGTCTAAGGCACCAAGGCCGGCCCTTTATTGGATTGAGATTCGGATATGGTTATTATGTTGTGGTTTGATGTGTCTGCATCCTGCTAGCTAGGATGGTACATGCTAGGAGACCTTGTTAAGGTCAGTTTCCCGATATATAGAGTGACGCTATGCTAGTGACCGGTTAGGTCGGTAACCTGGTTAGGGTAATGATATGCTATGTGATCTGCTTGCGGTTTGTTGGCTATGACTGTTATATGATTGTATGTTTGTGCACATGGTTATTTGGACTGGAGATGGGTTGAGGCGGGTCCTGCTTTGTGCTGTAGGCCAAGATACCCAGGGCGGACCGGTTATTCCGAAGGCCCAGCGAGCGGTCCGGATAGGCTGTAGGCCCCACGAGGGCGGACCAGACGTGCCGAGGCTCGGAGAGTGGACCAGGCCGACTGAAGGCCCGATGCGGGCGGACCAGTCACACTGTAGACTCAGAGAGTGGACCAGGTGGGTTGAAGACCCGAAACGGGCGGACCAACCCCACTGTAGACTCGAAGGACATGACTAGACCTGGAGGATGGATCCGGTGGACTGAAGGCCCGATACGGCGGACCAGTCACACAGTAGACCCGATATGCATGGCTGTTCTATGTTCTGTTATGTTATGTATGTTTTATATGTTTTGGACCGGAAGGTCGTAGCCTGGAAGTGCGTATATGTGGTTGGTATTTTGGGGTATCTCACTAAGCTTTCGGGCTTACAGTTGTGGTTTAATGTTTTTCAGGTTCTTCAGGAGACCGTGGCAAGGAGAAGGCGCGATCGTACCGCTCTTCATGATTTTGTAGCAATGTGATTCTGGGCATACTCTAAATGATTTGTATTGAAAACCTTTTTGTAAACAATTTAATGAAAATCGGGTTGTTTTTAAAAATTTAAATTGGTTGTATTTTTCGGATGTTACAAGTTGGTATCAGAGCCTTGGTTTGAGTGAATTGGAGGAACACTTGTGTGACTCCAGTCTCAAATCGAGGAGGGTTTTCAAAAGAGAATTTAAAATGGTTTTCAAAATAAGTAAAGGAGGACGCAAAGGTACGATCAGCCGGAGCCAGTAAGTAACCCC